CTGAATATAATTTTATTCCTATTTTTTCTTAATCAAGACGACCGATCGCACAATACTGTAGTTTTATCCGAGTGTATTTGTTCATAGTTTGTTGGAACTGGGTTAAGAGAGTGGATTAATATTTAAAATTGGGCAATTTTTTTTTCCCGATATTCCGGACTTGAGGGATATCGAACGCCATCCGAAGGCAACGTATCACAAGAAAGTGAATGAAAAATCCAGGTGGAAAGGGGGTGATAATTGTGTGTTCGTCATTCATCAAGAAAATACGAAACAATTCACTATAATAGGGAATCGAAGTTTGAGATTTTTTTTTTTAAATATCTTAAATAATTTTTTATTATTACTTTTAAAATGAGTGAGAAACGGTTGTGAAGCAGAAGGATTAATCCTACTTCAAAACTGTGCCAAGGTCAGAGAAAAAGATAGAGAAAAATGATAAATATTCGTAGGCCTATATTAGATAATTATAATATATTAACACAAAAGTAATGCATTGAAAAAAATAAACTTTACAAACTACAAATAACAGAACGAGGATAAGGTAATTCTAAAAATCTGCATTTCTAGAGAATGAAAGAATATGACTTTGATTGTTGATATGATATAATGATTGTTGGTGTTTTGTTTTGAATTGTTGGTTCAGAAGAGCAAAGCTAGCTAAACGTCACTGCCACAGATAAGACATCCAATTGAGAAACAGAGACAATTATTACGATGCACCTCGAAAAAAAAAATATTATATTAACAATATTATATTAATCATCACCATTATTGGTTACTGGTTACTGTTAATCATGAAAACCATTAATTAATTAGGACATTTATGATTAAAATTAAGTTTTAACTAGACATGTTCATTATCTATTCATTGTGAGGGAACTGAAGCTACGATGATCGTAGCTCGTAAGTTTATTAATTAATTAGAAGTGGCGTATTTTCGCAAGGCGATTGAATTTTTGTGAAATTATTGTTTGACGGTTTAAATAGCTTGCATTTATCAAGTACAAAACAAGGAAAGGAGCGGGTAGATGGCCAATGTATTTGCTGTCGAAAACCTAGGAGAATTTAGTTAATTTATAAGAGCAAGGAACCCTCAAACAAATTAAGCGGAAATACGCCTGTAGTGTGGAATTAAACATGCAATAAACATGCGAGAATATTATTGTAATGCATGAACAAAATCACTTAAAAGAAAACAAATAAATCTACAAGGAATTTTCAGCTAATCTTATTCTTTCAAAATTGTTTTCCTTGTCTTGCATTATTTATTGAGAAGTAAGTTGGGTAGCTAGAACTGAAATATTTTAAGTTGTATTTATTTTAATTTCAAATTGTGACAGAAATCAGTACATTATATAACTTTGGCAGATTCATTATTATACGTAAGGGGAATAATTAGCTTATAAGTTAAATACACCTCCAATGAGACGGGTTTTATGAATCATAACTGATCTTTCTGCCTATAACAAAGCTCCATAGCCATCTGAGATTTTGTATTTATTATTTTTTTTTTTTAATTTTTTTTCTTTTAAGGTTAGAGACGAGCATGGGATTAATTTCATGTGAGTTTGTGTTTGCTAGAGGCATTCAAGTAGACCGCTCATAAAGTGAAAATTTATGAGATGTAATTTTCAAGGAAAAGAGCGTGTTTCACATTAATAAGCACCTTGTACATTAAGGCCGTATTTATACAATATTCTAATCACGTGCAAATATACTGTAACTGGTAATTCTAATTCCCGTCCTTATAGATACGACGCCTTGCATCAGAGTTCATGACCTGCGAATTGTAAAACCAACCATTTGGTTCGGCAAATCAGAGTTTTGAACAAGAAACACACAAGATTTCAAAGCCTACTTTAATCCTGAAATAAAAATTTATTTGCTGCAAAAATACTTTAAATTCCTTGAAAGAATATCGAAGAACCGAAATTAATTTTACAGTTGTACTGATACTTTATAAATGTGATCCAACAAAATCAAGTATCCGCACGGAAAATCTACGGCTAAATGAATTTGCATCAATACAATATTTAAATATTCACATTTGTCACTCACTAGGCCTTGCTTCTGCGCAGTGACTGGGCCGAGGGTTCGATTCCCAGACTCCTGTCTAATATTCAACTGTTTTCTCCAGCTGTTAATCAGACGGAACGTGAATCTGTCCACTCAACTCCATCTAGCTCTGAGGTCAATGTCACTGGAGCTAAACCTCCACTCCCCCATACGCCTTAATGACATGGCGTACAATGGGCACCAGGAAAAACTTAACTTAACTTAACTTAACTTAACTTAACTTAACTTTATATCCAAAGAAACGAACACAACACAGTTTATCCGTTGATAATCATTCCAAAAATTTATGTAATTACCAGTAGAGGTACAGACTGGTATGTGTCTTCGTTTATTTAACGACGTTTCGTCAAGTGCGTACATTTTATGGAGATAAAGCAGGCAGAAACGTATACTTTCTGAAGGTGTTTGTAGTAACGTAAATTCACGCGAGCAGAAAAGTCAAATGAATATTTCCAAACGCCAATCAAATTTATTTTCACAGTCACAGTAAGACAAGAATCGATCCCAGACACGATTGATAACAGGCCTGTTAAAAATTCTGATCGAGACGTGCAATCGGTTTAATCTTGAGTGCCTCTAGTTAGAAACAAACGTTGTTTAAGAGACATTTACGAGGTAGGACGGCTTTAACTCAGAAATATCCTAGTAGTAACGTGTTGCACTGTGATGGATTGGAGACGGCGTAGGAGAGTCAAACCGTAGCAAAGTGTGAAGATCGGATTTGACGACTTCAAATCTCGATGATAATGAACGCAAATATTACGTCAATCTTCTTCTTTTGATGACTAAGGCTCGTTCATCGACTCCACAGAGAATTTAACGTCTAATTAAAGGAATTATATTATCATTTGCAAATTTGTACTTTGATCAGCTGTTAACTGGTGTTCCCTTCATTGAAATTACATCACGAATTTAAAATAAAATTATTCTACTTTGTAAAATCCGTGTGGGCTCTGGGTTTAATGTAATAAGGAAAATTTATTTTGGCATTATCAAGAAATAGAAGTTCGCAAATATTTATTTATAAGTTTATCGCGTTTTATATATAGATTAATGAAGACAGATTTTTATATGGAGAATATCGTACAGATTCATGTATTTACAGTCTTTTAAGAAGCTTTATTATCGAGAAAAATCAGATTTGTTAATAATCTGAATAAGTTGCCGTTCGTTACAGACAAAACATTGGGGAATTTTCATCACGTAAATCCGATCCTCACACAATATGAAAATGTTCTCTCGCAAATAAGAGAGGAGAGAACTGTAGTGTATTGGCTTCCTTTAACAATGACGTGATGATTGGATTAAACCACACACACGTCGCACATGCTAACTATACGCACAAGTACTTATAAAGACCATTAGTGTAACAAAAAATCTATAAAATAAAACAGGAAAAAGGGATATTGATAATAAAGACGGCTTATGCCAAATTATGTTATTTAATGATATGATGACTGTCATTGTGAGAAAGTTACATGCGAGACGAATCAAAATATTTGGGTAATTGGTTTCCATCTCATTTTCTAGTGTTTGATAAAAATTCTTCGACACATTCAGTTAAACAAATCCTGATTTCTTTGTAAATTTATTATACAAAAATGTTTCATAAACCAGAGGATGTATAAATGTCAAATTTGGATTCGATTAATTCAATTTAGTGAATCCCTATGGGAGAGTTCCAGAAAATACGAAATCAGTTTAAATCAACGCTTTGTCG